TACGGTAATTCATCCTGGCGATCCCGACTATCAAGGAGGGATTGCGCGCTGAACGAGCACTGCCTTCGCAAGGGAGAATCTTTGACAAGATTGGAGATGTTTTAAGGTGAACGCTCTTTCATTCTGGAATCTTCAGAGTGTGATAGCGAGACGATTTGCAGGAATATGTTCACGGAGAATCTAATTCGATCAATGTTCCAACAACAGCAGACCATCTACAAGCTGATGGAATCGAATGCCACCGCAGAAGACGCGACACGGGCGCTTGTGTGGACAGATGGAATGAACGTTATCGGTCAGTTGAAGGTCTTCTTTTTATGGAGTGGTTCATTAGGATCTGTCTAGAAGCAATTTCTAAGTGAAACTTCGGAGGTTGTAAAAAGTCCACTGTTCCACTTTTGTCGACTAGCATTAGAGAGGGACTGAGACAATGAAATTGAGAGCCACGAAACACCACATGCAAGAGTTGTGATCACTGCGCGCCGTTTCGCTTTACCTGTCGCAGGTGACCTTAGCATCGCTTGGTTTCTTATGTTGCGGAACAGTGGGTTTCAAATCGGACGTGATTTGAGAGATGTAAAAGGCACCCAAATATTGTATGTTGGTGCATTTTCAAACTTTCCGATTCTGAATGTTGGAACATATCGTAGTTTGTCGGTAATCCATCTTAATTGTTTCGAGTTCTTCAGTCCTTTTCCTTCATTAAATTTGAGCGCGGGCGGAAGTGGTGTAGTGGCAAGTGGCACGCTTACCACGCGAGCGGTCCGGGGATCAAATCCTGGGTCGTGAGTCGCCCGGGCCAACCAAGCCTTCCATCCCTCCGGGGTCGGTTAATTGGTACCAGACTTGTCTGAAAGGACGAAAACACTGACTTGAATATCGGCTGGCTCCGAAATTCACTGCATTTACAGGTCAAATCGCATTCCAAATGCCACGGTTCTGAATGGAGGCAAAATGCGTGGCGCATCCTAGAATGGGATGAACGCCAGGTGCTTTATACTCCATCTTATTTCTGGAATTGTAGTTTTGTTTTGAAACAGATACAAACTGAAGAGCGAACCGTTGCCAGGATCGTGCCGACGGTCAGCACAAATTTGGCCACTCGTGGGTCCAGATTCAAGTCACGCACACATTCAAAAGTCACCGGCAGGCTGGCGGCGCTTGAAATATCGTTCTCTTCCGGTGTCTTCCTAATCAGCTTTCTGTAGATTTTCAAAGCTTTTGGGAAATTAAAAGATTAGCGCTTAAGAACCTGTGTTAAAACTTTTTCAAGAAATCACTCTTTCAAAAAATAGTCCCGTTGTTCCGTTTTTCCCCCTTGATTTTTCAAGCCATTTGTTTTCAAACGTCCATAATTTCCTTCAAAATTCATATAATGAGAAGCGGTAAAAAGTATTGAAGTCTACATGAAGAGTGCTTCACAACGTATGCAAAATTTTCCCTGAAAAGCTTTCTTCTGCCAGAATTTCTGAGGAGGTCCCTAGAAGTCAATTAAGCAAGTTCTAACTTTCTTCCACTTAGATTTGTTCTGAAGACATCAAGATTCTTTTGAGGAAGTTTGTCTGCTTACGGCCGCTGACAGATAAAGCGTTTTGAAAGTGAAAACTCATTGCTTCGTCTACGCTGTTTGCGATAAGCAGTCGCACTTAAGCATATAAAAGTCCTGCCTCACCCCTGACACGGAAGATAAATATCGCGATTGTATTGCTATGTAGCCGCTTTACTGAATCCGCTATTAACTTTTCTCAAATGAACTTTCACCGCGGTCCCATGTGTATACGCCCCCCCCTTTCCCATTTCGCAAATATCACGCCCTCGCTGTTTTCTTGCAACAGCGGCGTTGACGGCCTGCAGTGAGCTGGTCCAACACCTTCGCGCAATGTCCCATCCAATATGAGCGTTAACCGTGCCATTCTACTTTAGCCTTTCAATTATTCCACCAACTAAATTTGAATGTTTTGCCTTAAAGGACGAATTCACGCTGAAAAAGGCAACCCATTTCAAATTAACCTAGGGATGGTGAGTGGTACACGAAAGAAGGAAGAACCATGAGAAACGGCCCAGAACCCGAGAAATGGGACCCCTTCCTTGCCCGTTGATTTGAGCATTGATGCGACTCTCATCGCTGTGCCCTCTTCAACACTACGCTCTCTCAGCTATCTAATCACTCGCCACGTATAGACCTGCGGCGAGTGATCAGATGATCGTGGGCGTGCACTGACCAGCGCTGCCGAAGATTGAAGCGCTTGATAAGCATCTGGCCGATTAGTCAACTCCTGTGCCAATTGCGCTTTGGTCCGCACCTTAGGAGGTCCGCGGGTCCCTCAACTAGGTAAATTACTCCTTCTTCGACCTTCTTTCTGATCGTGAATTCCTTGGTTTAAACGCAGCGATTACGATAAAGAGGGAGCGCATCGGGAAGCATATGCACCACACGAATCAGTTACTTGGCTGCCAAGGGAAGCGAGATGTGGCGCTTTCACGACGAAAGGTGCGCTGGTTGCTGAGCAGGACTTCGAAAGCACTCCGCCCCCAAAAGCGATCCGCCCACTAGTTCACTTGGTGATTTGGACGAGCTGCGTTGCCATCAGCGGCACAAGCTGAAGCATTTGTCTGTGGAGCATGGATTGCATGCTGTCACCAAATGCGTTGCGAATGCAATCTCCGTTCGTACTTCTCGTTTTTGAGGCTGTTACCTGTTCATGAGCTGGTAGTACACGGCCAATAAAGGGGGTCCCATCCCTGCGGTTTTCTGCATTTTTTTGCCCACTGCGTTACCATTGAGCACCAACCAATCTTCCATAAACCTCTCGAAACTTATAGTAAAGTACTGCCTTTAAGCGTATTAGCGGTGTTCTCAACGGCTCTCGGTGTAGTGATCTCAGCATCCGGAAATGACGGTCGTCCACTTGCTGATCTTTTCAAAGCTCTTGATGTGGTCATAACGCGCTTTATGGCAGCCATCATGTGGTAAGTTATTAGCGTCATCTCTTCCATATACCACGTTGCGTAAGCGGAACTACAAAAAAGATCAGAATTTGAAACACTCGCATTCAGGTTGGGCCCCATTGGCATTCGCGTGCGATGATTGCTCAATAATATGCTGCAAGTAAAAGATCTTGTTGGCACATTCCGCATGCTTGGTTTTTTCATCGCTTCTGTGATTCTCGGTAAGAGCACAACTTCTGGTTTACCCGTTAGGTTGAAATACCTATTATTGTTTAGGGTTAGCTATCGTGTCGCTCGTCACACTGCCACTTGTCTTCGCGGTAATAACCAGAAGAAACCCTTATAAGTTCATAAAAGCTCTGAATAGAGCCTTACTGCAGGGCGTTGCCACGTCGTCAAGGTAAGTTTTATCAGACTGTTCTTCATCGTTCACTGGAAGAGAACGATCTGTTAAGCGCCGCCAGCCTGCCGGTGACTTTTGAATGTGTGCGTGACTTGAATCTGGACCCACGAGTGGCCAAATTTGTGCTGACCGTCGGCACGATCCTCGCAACGGTTCGCTCTCCACAGTTTGTATTTGTTTTCAAAACAAAAAACTACAATTCCAGAAATAAGATGGAGTATAAAGCAGCTGGTGCTCATCCCATTCTAGGGTGCGCCACGCACTTTGCCCCATTCAGAACCGTGGCATCTTGGAATGCGATTTTGACCTGTAAATGCAGTGAATTGCGGAGCCACCGATATTCAGTTCAGTGTTTTCGTCCTTTCAGACAAGTCTGGTACCAATTAACCGACCCCGGAGGGATGGAAGGCTTGGTTGGCCCGGGCGACTCACGATCCAGGCATTTGATCCCGGCCCGCTCGCGTGGTCAGCAGCGCCACTAGCCACTGCACCACTTCTGCCAAGATAATATCGTGGGCTAAATATTATAGCATTTAAAGAATACCGCTTGAACCCTCAAGAGAGACTAACTATAAGCTACACTTCGCAAGAAAAAGGACTCATGACTGGTGCCGCAATAACGCTCACAAATTTATATCCCTAGTTCCCATTGGAAGGCGAATTCGCCTGAAGTCAATACTAAGGGCTTATTGTGAAAAAGGAATTTTGCGTTTTGGAATGCTCCACATTGAACTCTGGGAAAGCAAGGAAATAGTTTGGGCAGAAATTATCCAAGATGCGTTGTTTGCCGACTACGAATAGCAACCCAAGTTCCCACGAGCTGTAGTTCTTGCTGGAGGCGAGTATACTTAATTGCGGAACTTTCCGTTGTTATGATAAAAGGATAAAGCATTTGCCGTTGATCAATCCCTTTTTGGGATGCGGCACGCATTCTACTTCCATTTGTACATTCGTAGTGGCGTTTGAATGCGATGTGGCCTATACAATGACTTGCGGGGCCAGCCGATGTACAAGTCATCATCCCAGACAAGCACCGACTTTGAGGGGATGGAAAGCTTGGTTATCCTGAACGAAGCAGAACCCGGGGTTCGATTCCCGAATGCGCGCGTGGTAAGCGTGCCACTTGCCACTACACCACTTCTCCTTTTTCCGTTGTTGTTAGGTAAATGATTCCTGAGTTTTATCGTATTTCAGTTCGAATTGTGGTCATTGTGCTGCAATGACTTCCTGGAACAATTTCCTCTCTTCCCTGTAGATAAGATTGTTCAGATTGGCACGGCACTCTTCCAAGCAGTATCTCCTATTTTCATTGCTCAGATGAACGGAATCACTCTAGACTTAGGACAGTACATCACACTATGGTAAGAAGGAGCTGCCTTCTCCCTAATAATGAGGAAGCACCTGATTGTCTCAGTAGCGCCAAATAACTGTCATTTTCCAGCGTAACTGCTTGCTTGGCATCGGCTGGAGCGGCGACTGTGCCCAGTTCTGCCCTAGTCACGATGATCATCGTTCTATCGGCTCTTGGACTGCCGGTTGATGACATCTCACTAATCTTCACTGTCGACTGGCTACTGTGAGTTGACAACTTACTTGTTAGCAGCTAGAGCTCATTTACCACCAG